TTACACTCTGGAGACTGAAATAGACGTCACTGGTCTTGTTCCAGACGTTAGGTACCGAGTGTTTGTGAGAGCAGAGAATGAGCTCTATGACGTAGACAATACCACGTCGAGGAGCAACAACATCACTGTCACCTTACCTGAAGGAGGTATAGCTACCATTGTTTCTGCTACAAGTAGCCACACACTCTCAGATGTTATGGGGAAATGATTGAGATAGAAAAGTATGGTTTTAGAAGTGGGGTAAACTGCTTATTTCTTTGTGAGCCTTAGTAGTTGACTGTGCACAATAATAATGCAACAACATCATGTACAGTGGTATATCTAGCGTTCACTCACCGAAAATGCGTTCTGGTATTGGTGTATATACTTGGCTACAATCACTGAGCTCTTTTGCTACCATCAGTTGGCGGTACAGTGGAGTTTGCAGGAAATAATGTCGGCTCAAGTATCTTCCTCAACCAGCTGGCGTGGGCTCCTCCGGACCCTCCCCAAGGAGACATCATTCACTACAACGTCAGGATCACCAGTGTTACCAATGAATCTGAGATTTTTGTACTAGTGGAAGGGGTAAATGATACCTTCCTTGATGTGAAACCCTTTGTCCTATCAGATGGGGAATATTTCATCCAGGTATGCATTTATTAAATGCAATGTGAAATTTTGCTGTGCAGTTGGGAGAGTGTATTTTGACTATTATGATTGTTAAACAGGTTCAAGCTGTAACGAAGGTAGGAGGAGGGAATTTTTCCACCCCTGTCATAGTCACAGTTCTGTTTGGAACAACCGAAAATGCTACAACAGCCACGAATCCACCTGTAATTCAGTCGGCAAAACAAGATGACACCGTGCTCTTTAGCCTCGCTGTCCTGCCATCATTCATCATAGTTTCAGTAGCTATAGCTGTGTTTTCTCTCCTTTACTACCGAAGGTGAGAGAAGAGCTAGGTTGATATATACCTACATGCTGCCTCTTTGTACACATGAGTTTTCTTCACTGCACCCAGGTACCGGCGAAGGAAGATGAAGAAAAGAAGTAAGTTATAACACCTTAACATCACTTCCCATGCACACCTATCTCTGTATCACACTCTTACTTGTAACCTAAAATGAACCACGTCTGAGTCTCATTTTATTAACAGGATTCAGGGAAACAATTGCCAACCATCAGTAAGTTGCCTCAAAAGACTATACTACACAGGTATTGATCAATATCCTCCTGTAGGAGTCAGCTACAGCACTCAACATCTCAGCTTGTCACACCAGGTCCAGAGCTTTGTTTGTAGGTCAGAGTGTTACAATTAATGACCTCTCTGGTGTTTACAGATGAACCAACGGCGTGCCAGCGATTTGAAGCCTTGTCTCAGCAAAGAGAGAGAACAAAGAGCAACAAGTACATTTTTGGATCAACTCTAGGTTTGCTTAGACTAAATAATGCTTAATGTATTTTCTCCCATGCTTTTCATTTTATATAATATTATCATACATTCCATCACTGTCTCTCTCTCTATAAACTATGCGTTTTGTCTGTCTGCTTGCCTGCCTGTCTATGCATCTTCTTTTCTGCAATTTTCAGTGGAAAATTCAGCCTTATCTCAACTGGAGAGTCTTTCTCAGCACATACCAAAAGAGATACTTCTCACCCAAGACAATATCCAACTCTCAAATGTGATTGGAGAAGGTCTGTATGGGAAATAAATAAAGAGTGTGCGTCTGTTTGCCAGCTGACATTAGCTGCATTACTATAATTATGGGTCTTGGTGGTGCGTTAGGTAAGTTTTCATTGCTACAGGTGAATTTGGACAGGTGTACAAAGGCTACATGAAAACAAAGTACCAGACTGATGTAGTAGCTGTAAAGACTTTGAGAGGTGCTAAAATTAATAAACACATGCTTCTCACCATGAACTTGGTTATTTCCCGCAGCTCTGAGTTCAGTGAGTGAGGTGAAACTGCTCATGAAAGAGATAGTGAAAATGGTCAACTTTGACCACCCCAATGTGATGACACTGACTGGAGTCATCCTAGTGGAGGGTGGAGCTCCTCTCCTGGTCATGCCCTACATGGTGAAGGGAACTCTCCTCACATACGTCCGTGAGAACAAGGACCAGTTCTTTGTGGAAGATGACAATGCGGAGGCTGCAGATCAGGTAAGCTATAGCTAACCACTGACTAGCTTTGTTCAGCTGCCTTTTAAAAGGGTAATTTGTGGTGAAAGTAGCAAGGTTATCAGGGTTCTTGTAGGTCTACAATTGAGTAGTTGCAAAACTTCTCAAAAAGGCAATCTTTAGCTCAATTTAGGGGACTGTCTTGTGTTTCTCCGTGATACATGCTTAAAGGCAGATTTTTCCATTCAAACCCAAACTTGCTTGTATTTGTAAAATGCGGTATTACTGCTTGGTGTCTATTGCCTTTCTTGTTGATGGTATATATAATGCAGGTGGATGAGATTTCAAAAACTCTCATTGAATTCTCGAGACAAATTGCACTTGGAATGCAATACCTGGCAAAGAACAAGGTTGTACATCGTGATCTGGCAGCAAGGAACTGTCTGTAAGTAGCTAGATGTTTTTCAATTCCTCCTATATATGTGCTCATTGAATCATTTTTGTGTGCAGGCTGGACATGTGTGGGACTGTCAAAGTGGCTGACTTTGGTCTGTCAGAGGACATGTATTCCACCAACTACTTTCGTCAGGGAAAAAGCAGTGTTGATGCAGTTGAGACAAAAGTACCCATCAGGTGGATGCCTCTTGAGAGCATTGAGGAGGGCCTCTATAACGAGAAGAGTGATGTGGTAAGAATGGAAAGATATTGGTTTAGTCACAGGAAGAGAAAGTTAAAGCACAAGTTTTTCACAGTGTGGTTGAGGACGAGGTTTACATATATTGCCTATTTAGGTAAAGTTTACGTCTTACTTAGTAAGAGGTTAACATGCACATTCGCAAGTGTAACAACAATAGGGACACATCTAGAGTACATGAATCATTGTAGGTGGGGACAGTTGTTTCCTGTCTTATGTAATCGCGGGTCTTTAACCCCAATTCACTGCACAGTGGTCGTATGGAGTGACAGTGTGGGAGATATTCACGTGTGGGAAGGTTCCCTACCACGGCATCAGCTGCATGGCTCTCCCTCGTCTCCTCCGTGCTGGAGAACACCTCGAGAAACCCTACAACACCGCCTGCTCTGAAGAAATGTAAAACTATTTTCATGAGTCATCAGTACCTTGTCATTAATAGCTTTATCCTTACACACTGTGGGTTTCTTAAAATAAGGTTATATCTTCAGATGTTGCATAAAATCACTTTACTCTTCCTTATGCCTGAGAGTGTGTGCTCAATACTTTGTGAAATCGTCATTGCAGTGCCACAGTAAAGTCTAAGAAACTCGTCTACTATATAGTGCTATAGCTACCCTAGCTACTAGTTTGCATCCAAGTGTTTCATGGGCACTTGACGATAATAATTTATCTGTGATCTGTAGCAATCAGGGTTTGTATAAGTAATTAAGAAATCTCAAAAATCTTTCTGCAGGTACTCACTGTTTGTGAGCTGTTGGAATGCTGTTCCACAGCAAAGACCAAGATTCTGTGAAATTGTGAGCAAGATTGACGTGATGATGGAGGAGAAGTTTGGGTATCTCAGGATGAACACTAACTGCAGCTAACAGTGGAGCTGCAGTGGTTCTTGGAGAATTTACGTAGTTGTAGAATAAGTTAGACTTATCCGTTTCATTTCAGCACTTCTCATTTAAATTTCATTGTGTTGCACTGTCACGTTTTATAAATGTTTCAAAACCCTTTGGACGCCATGGGTATCTCCTTAAGTAAGCAGAAATTTATTTAAATGCCTAGTATTATAGCCATTTGTTATGGACTTATTGAGGCTCTGGGCATATGTATGCCCGTGGCTTGCTAAGAGTTAAAGCAGTTAGTTTTTTCGTTTCTGCCATCTTCTATTAATTTGATCTGTTGCCACCATTGAACTCTGGCAGGTGATTGTGTAGGTTTGTTGTTCAAACTTATAAGGCTCAGTGAGCACTACATTTTTGTCTACCAGGACTAGGTTGTAATATGCTGAAGTAATAATAGAGGACTCTATATAGCTATAGTAATACTCAAAGGGTAAGAAAACTCCTAGTGGCCACCAGTGGTGCAGTCTTTAGGCTATGATTTAGATCACATGTCAATTTTGACTGAGTGTCATTGAAACAAAGTGAACTCACGAAGGAAAATAATATGTGATTACATTGCTCTCTGCACTTTAGATGTAGTTGTTATACTTCAAGAGGTGGTCTGATAGGTAGAACAGTTTAAAAGATATACCAGTCAGTTAATGCCGATGTGGTTTAGAACTAACATAGTTAGTCTTAAACATCTAGCTGCCCCAGAGTTACAAGGTGGGCGACCCTAGGCTGCTTTCTTGTGTTTTTCAGGAATCAGAGGGTGTCAACAGCACTTGACAGCATTCTTGGAATCAGGATATTCAACAACTCTCAGGACAACATGAAAAATAGTTGCTGGTTTGGACAAGAACCTGTGACACTCTGCAATCTATGCAGAAAGACCCTTATCCCAGTGACATTTAGGGCAGCAGGGTCATTCTGGGTCAGGGTCCAACTCAACACAAGAAGGCAATCATGTGCTAGCACGGCAACCTGCCATTGCTGCCTGCTATATATTATGTAGGAGCATGTAGACCATGTGAAAATGTCTAAATACACATAAAAAAACATATAACAAATCAAACTGCTTACTTCGCTCGCCAAAATGTGAAAAACTAATCATACTTAGACCAGGTCTCTTGATTACACACTTGTGCGGTAGATTTTCCCAGCACCAGTGACATTAGCTATAATTACATGCACTTCTTGGATTTCAGTCAAATAGTACAGATTTTGTGTGTGTCCTTTGGGACCAAAATGTCTGTTACTGCAACCAATGCCAAAAGTTGGCAGGTGTTAGGGCATGAGAGCTGATGGTGTCACATTAATCCCACGTGTGTTCATGTGGTGTTGGATTATGTCACACAGGCATGGTATAAAAGCACAAGTTTTTCTATTGCTAACGGTAGCTACCCTCCAGTAAAGCTCTGCACTATAAGTGTGAGTCAATAACGATAACATTTTAATTTATATTTTTTTGTCTTCCATTATGGTAACAGCATGGTGATGTACACTTTGTTAAGAGTGCTCTTTATGTTCAAACTTTTATGCTGCTCAGGTAAGCATTATGGGAAAATTTACTCTGGGCATGGTAGCTATAGCATAATTATTATGAGAGGCATAAACTTATAAATACATTCTCACCAACCTGGGTTATTCAAATCACAATGTTAAAAGTAATACGACAGCCACACTATAAATCACGGTTCTGCAAATCCTCTTGCGACGATACCAGGGCGCATTGTGGACACCCGGACACATGCATCAGTTAGAGAAGGACCCACAAAGAAAGATGGAATGCCTTGGAAGGCCCTGTAACTTGGTGTTGAGTGAGTTTGCAAGTGTTTTCTACGTGGGTCACGTGAGATTTCATCCATGTCATCCTTACTTAGAGTGCCGACACTGCACAGGAGAATTAATTAATAAAGCTATATACTTACTGTCCCTCTAGTGTATTGTACATGTGTCTCGTGTTCTACCAAGTGTTCTGTGTGCATAGACAATGGCTGTTTACCGTTAGATTGCTCAACGCAAGTCAATCATAAAAATTCTCTGTGAAATCAATATAGCCTGTAGATAGCTATGATTACGGCAACGTGACATGCTCAAATTACTCCTTCTTCTACTCCTCCATTTCCCACCTTCCTGTTCATCTTAGCTACCACAGCACCGGAGGAGTGTACTAGTGACTCAGTGTGTCACAGTAGAGTGTATTGCATACTGGACAATGATGATTATCACAACGATGATGATGATGAGTCAGGGTTTTGGTCATTGTGTGGGTGCCCCTGCAATAATGGATTCCAGTGCAGTGAAACCGGTGTCACTTGTGAAGGTACAAAAAACTGGCATATTAGCTATGTGGAAACCTACCAATATTATACTTGAGGTGTATTGTAACTGGAAAACCTTTGTATAGGTAATAGTGCAGTTTGGTGTGGTATTAGGGATAAATAGTGATGGTATTTTTCAAAATAGTATGAGGCGAAGCCGAATACTATTTTTTTAAATTCCATCCCTATTAATCCCCTAATACCACACCAAACTGCACTATCACATGTTAATAGTATAGTGCTGTGTATAGTGATCAGTGTGTTATATAGATTAGCTATAGTCATCCTCACAAGATCTTTCGCGACACTTGTTTTTGGAGCTGTAACTTGTATGAAGTATTTCACATTGATTTCCTAGTCACTTGATTTGATTGGTCGATTTTCTGGGGAATTTAAATTTTCGGGGGGTATTTCAATTTTCCAAGGGTGTTACGGTGAAATAGTTAAATTCTCTATGGATCAAATGTATTGGCTGTTACATAGTATACTATTAAGTTAGGAATAGGTACCTAACCCAGTGCAAGAATGTAATGAAAAGCACTAAAGTGCAAACCCTCGGCGAACTGGGGATGCGCGGTACCGCTAATTGATGGGCTGGTCTGCTATTAGTATGCGTTTACTCGTGATCTCCCGCTAGTAGCTCGCAGAGAGTCTGACACGGGCTAGCTACAGTAGTAGATAGTATGCGAGAGTCGATACACGCCCTTCGTTGTGACTTCTTGTGCCTTCAAGATACACAGAGCAAGCGGACGACCCGGTCGAGGTTATAAGCGCATGCGCATTTTCCGCAGCGATAAAAATGGCCGACTACGCATTAGCCGTACAATGGTGGAAGCGCTCTAGCTCTGCAACGGAGCATTTTCAGAGAAACCCCACATATATTCTGACCTTCGTCGCCCGTTGGGTAGATGGTAGCGTTTCTGGGACGAACAGACATTCGAGAAGTGAGATTGAGAGTAACAGACACACACACACACACACACACACACCCAACTACAGTACCCTCGCTGCGCATGCGCGCCGAGGGTAATTACCTTTTGTAACCATTTTAGCCGCCATAATTCCTTTTAATGTAAAATTAACCACACAGTCACTCTTTGTTATGGCAGAAACCGATGTTTCTTACACAAACTTAGATGTTGATGAGTGTTCCCCAGAGTACCAGAATTCCACTTGCACCGAGTCACAAATGTGTATCAACACCTACGGAGGCTACCGATGTCAGTGTAAACCTGGATTTGAAAATCTCTGTGGACCAGTCTTCGATGGTGAGCTTGAGAGTAGCAATTAATGCCGTTGTCAGTAGACTGGGGACATACTCACAGACTTAGTTTAAGAAAGTCAATGCAAACAAAAAACCTAAGACCAGTTCTGACATAGCTATTTTTGCAAGTCATTGACTGCACTATTAATCCACCAGCTATCTTTTCAAGATGTCCCGAATGCATTGAGACTGCCTATTGTGATGCCTTGACTAATTTTACCTGTCAGTGCATGGAGCAATCTGCCCCGGATGCCAATGGAGGAGAGTGTCCAGGTAAACTGTAAACTTATGTAAATTATTTTATCATGCTAACTACAAGTTGGAGATGGTGGAGCCCAGTAATTTCCACACTACCTAGAGATGTTAGGCTGTTTCAAAGCATTGTTCCTGTTCTACAGAGTGCCAAAGTGGGACATACACCATTCGAAACCGTCCCTGTGAGCCCTGTCCAGCAAACAGCGACTCCCACGAGGCAGGTCTCGCTGAATGCTCGTGTCTCCATGGATACTACAGAGCTGCAGTGGACTCACGCCATGATAACTGCACAAGTTAGTCACCTTGGCACTTGCTGCTTTGTAACATTATATGAGCCAATGAAATGTTTTGTTTTTTTCTTTAGCCTCTCCCTCCTCGCCCCGGACACTGATGTTACAAAATGTCACAAACACATCAGTAGTCATCTCCTGGCTCAAACCAGTACACCTTGGTGGGAGAGATGCCAATGAGCTGTTTTACGTCATCATTGTCACTGGTATAATTATAACAGTATGATTTTTGTGCTCAATCTTGCTAGGTAATTTCATTATACAGGAGCTAGATTATACACCATTCTAAGCACTAATAGTATGATGGTTGTGTTCAATGTTGCTAGCTCAGAAGAGAGATTTAGTAGGTAACTATAATGTATAGCTACATCATTCTTAGCACACATAGTGATGTCAAATGCAGGTGGTGGACCAAACATTGATGGTGTGAATGCTATTGCACACGATACAGTGATAAAACTCACTGGTCTTATTCCGGATACTAAGTACCTAGTGACGGTGAAAGCTGAGAATAAGTTGTATGGGATGGACAACACAACATCTAGAAGTGAAAGCATCAGTGTCACCTTACTGGAGGGAGGTATGCTACATAAATGGTATGACAATAGACAGCCCAGAATACCTTGAGGGCCCTACAAAGAGAGAGATGCGAGCATAACAGTGATCAAGCAAAGGACACAGTACTTGTGTAATACTTAGTCCAAATAAGCAACAGGCCTTCATGGAAGGTGCCTGCATGGTCTAGGGGGCAACCGTAGGTTAGCATCTGCAGAAACTGTGCTTTGTCTATATAGCTATATACCTTACATGAACTGTAGACTTTGGTGGACGTTATTCATCAATACAAACTCCGGGGACCATCAAAATGAATATTGCATTGCTAGTTAACCCTCGGCGCGCATGTGCAGCGAGGGTACGTTTGTCTGTCTGTCTGTCTGTCTGTCTGTTTGTGTACATCTCACCTCTCGAATGTCGGTTCGTCCCAGAAACGATACCATCTACCCAACGGGCGACGAAGGTCAGAAAATAAAGGCGTTTTCTCTGAAAATGCTCCGTTGCAAAGCTAGAGCGCGAAAAAAGCTAATATGCAAATACGCAACGGACGGGATGGCTTACCGCGGTCGTGCTCTGCGTACTTCGGAGGCACCAGAAGATGCAACGCAGGGCGTGTATCGCCTCTCGCATGCTATGTAGTAGTGTAGTTAGCCCGCGTCAGACTCTGCGCGAGCTGGCAAGAGACAACGAGTAACAGCAACCCAGCCCATCAATTAGTGGTACGGCGCATGCGTTTACTGACGCGTGCGCGTCACAGTGCGCCGAGGGTTTGCACTTCAGTGCTTTTCATTACCCTCGGCGCGCATGCGCAGCGAGGGTACTGTAGTTTGTGTGTGTGTGTGTGTGTCTGTTACTCTACATCTCACTTTTCGAATGTTTGTTCGTCTCACAAACGATATGACCTACTCAACGGGCAATGAAGGTCAGAAGTTTTGTGGGGTTTTCTCTGAAAATGCTCCGTTGCAAAGCTAGAGCGCTTCCAGCATTTGTATGGCTAATGCCGGTAGTCGCCATTTTATCGCTGGCGGATAATGCGCATGCGCTTATATTTAGCACCGACCGGGTCCGCTTGCTCTGTCTATCTTGAAGGCACAAGAAGTCACAACGAATGGCCTCTCGCGTGCTATCTACTACTGTAGCTAGCCCGTGTCAGACTCTCTGCGAGACGGTTTGCACTTTAGTGCTTTTCATTGGGTCTGTCTGTGTGTGTGTCTGTCTGTTAGCTCTATATCTCACTTCTCGAACGTCTGTTCGTCCCAGAAACGATACCATCTACCCAACGGACGACGAAGGTCAGAATATAAAGGCGGTTTACTCTGAAAATGCTCCGTTGCTAAGCTAGAGCGGGAAAAAAGCTAATATGCAACGGACGGGATGGCTTACCACAGTCGGATCGATCCGCGTGCTCTGCGTACTTCGGAGGCACCAGAAGGTGCAACGCAGGGCCTCTCACATACTATCTAGTAGTGTAGTTAGCCCGCGTCAGACTGCGCGAGCTGGCAAGAGACCACGAGTAACAGCTAAAACTAAACCCAGCCCATCAATTAGTGGTACTGCGCATGCGTGCACTTCAGTGCTTTTCATTAACCCTCGGCGCGCATGCGCAGCGAGGGTTACGGTAGTTTGTTTCTCTGTCTGTCTGTCTGTCTGTGTGTGTGTGTCGACGCTTATTCTGGCACTACAGGCCACGAGGTGGCTAATGAGCGATACCAACGGATTCAGAACTACGCGAACCAGAAAAATAGGCGATTTTCCTGAAACGACTGCGTTCGAGAGCGACAAACTGGCACGGTTGCTGACCGAGTTCCGTGGCCCAACCCATCATTAAGTGGTGCGCATGCGTATAGACACGATCAACGCGGTATGCTGGCTCCACCTCTACCTGATCCGCTTGCTCTGTGTACCTTGGAGGCACAAGAAGCCACAGCGAAGGGCGTGTATCGACTGCCGCATGCTATCTACTACCGTAGCCAGTGTCAGATTCTCCGCGAGCTACTATCGGGAGACCGCGGGTAGCTAAGCCCAGCCCAACCATTAGCGATACCGCTCATGCGCAGTTCGCCGAGGGTTTGCACTTCAGTGCTTTTCATTTTATTGATTTAGGTTCTTATTTTTTTAACAGTAACAGGTTCCACCGTCTACTCATCTACATACATAACATTGTTTTGTTATGACAGTAGTCTCTAAATAACTATTCCTACAATATTATTGTAATACTGCGATGTTGTCTATATGCTGGTGACTCTTACTAGGTTCAAGCTGTAACCAAGATAGGAGGAGGCAGTTTTTCTATTCCTGTCAAGGTCACTGTGATGTTTGAATCAACTGAAAATTCCACAACAGCTACAAGTCCAACTGCAACTCAGTCAGCTGCTGAAGATGACTCTGTCCTTGGATTCATTGCCCTGTTGTTGCTTATCATTGTACTGGTAGCAGTTATCGTTTTTTCTCTGCTTTACTACCGAAGGTGAGACAGAGAGAGTTATAATGATTTTAACCTGTGTATGCTTTCACTATACAAAGATACAAGCAAAGAAAGATGAAGAAAAGAAGTTAGTCATTTTAAGCACCCTATCCATGAACCATTCTGTGTCATTCGGTATCTCATTGTCATCTGTATTTTTTGCTTCTAACAGGATACAGGGAGACCATTGCCAACAGCCAGTAAGTAGCCTACAAACCTTGTAATACGCACATATCTGCTGCAATAATTATCCCTATTTGTAGTGGTCAGCTACATCAATCTACTACCAATCTCGTCACAACAGGTAGCTGTATACTTGCTTGAGACTTAAATAGCAAATTGTATGTTATAGATGATTCAGAGATCTGGCAACAATTGGATGCCTTGTCTCAGCAAAGAGAAAGAACTAAGAGCAACAAATACATATTTGGATCAAACATAGGTTTGTTGCCATGCACTTACGCTCGAGTCAATGATGACTTTACTTACCTTCCTTATCTGTGTGTTGGTTTGTCTGACTGTCTGTCTGTCTGTTTGTCTGCTTTTTGCGCATTTGTTCACACACTACTCTGGATGTCAGTGGAAAATTCGTGCTTATCTCAACTGGAGAGTCTTTCTCGGCACATACCAAAAGAGATACTTCTCACCCAAGACAATATCCAACTCTCAAATGTGATTGGAGAAGGTCTGTATGTTTGATTACTGGAATGAATGCAGAAGATTTTTGGCGATCAAACGCAACTATTCATGTGCCTATTTAGAATCACATCAAGAATTACTGTGTGTGCATTGCCTGTCACACACATTAAAAGAACAATAATCCTGCATTTTCTCGTGGACTAGTTTTGAACTGCACTAGCCTGGTGGTAATTGTGATACAGGTGAAGCTACCATGGTGTTCTTTTGCAGGTGAATTTGGACAAGTGTACAAAGGCTATATAAAGACAAAGTACAAAACAGATGTGGTGGCTGTTAAGACTTTGAGAGGTAGCTAGTCTTTGCAAACATGAGTTAGCAATAAGGCAAAACATTTTTTGTGTTGTTTGTCTGTTCCGCAGCTCTGAGTTCAGTGAGTGAGGTGAAACTGCTCATGAAAGAGATAGTGAAAATGGTCAACTTTGACCACCCCAATGTGATGACCCTGACTGGAGTCATCCTAGTGGAGGGTGGAGCTCCTCTCCTGGTCATGCCCTACATGGTGAAGGGAACTCTCCTCACATACGTCCGTGAGAACAAGGACCAGTTCTTTGTGGAAGATGAATCTGAAAACTTACATCAGGTAGGTATCACCTTATTGGTATCAATTATACACTATTGATCTGTTTTTGCAAGCCACAAACCCAGTTTAGAGCATTGAATGATGATGTGTTTGTTTGTTTACTTCACAGGTGGATGAGATTTCAAAAACTCTCACTCAATTCTCCCGGCAAATTGCACTTGGAATGCAATACCTGGCAAAGAACAAGGTTGTACATCGTGATCTGGCAGCAAGGAACTGTCTGTAAGTAGCTAGATGTTTTTCAATTCCTCCTATGTGCTCATTAACCCTCGGCGCGCATGCGCAGCGAGGGTTACGGTAGTTGTCCCGTAAGTGTGTCTGTCTGTCAGTCTGTCTGTCTGTTACCACGTTTTCTGCCACCACGCGCACGAAATCAGGTAAATAACGATATGATCGGGTTCAGTGCTACACTTGGTTGATTTAAAAAAAGGCGATTTTCGTAAAACTACTGTGTTTTAAAATTATGGCGTGAAAACCAAGTGAACAAGCCAATATGTAAATTAGCACAGGCTTACCTTGGGTGCAAATGCTTCTTTGTTGTACTGTGCGTCGTCTGATTCGCAAATTGTGAACACAATCTCCCCTCAGCCCTCAGCAGTTATATTTTATGCTCTCTCACTATGACAGTGGTCGTATGGAGTGACAGTGTGGGAGATATTCACGTGTGGGAAGGTTCCCTACCATGGCATCAGCTGCATGGCTCTCCCTCGTCTCCTCCGTGCTGGAGAACACCTCGAGAAACCCTACAACACAGCCTGCTCCGATGACATGTAAAGCGGCTACCCATAACACACGGCTCAGCGTCCGTCAGCCGACGGACGCGAATGAAATCTTACGTGATCCGCGTACAGAACGAAACTCGGCGAGCAAAGCCTTCAAATACTGGCGGATTGAGAGGGGGTTCGGTCGTCAACCCGTTTCTATCTGCGCATGCGCGGTGTGCGGCACACGGCAGTTTGTATATACAACATGGACTTGGAAAACCTGCTGGAAGATGTCTTAGAGGGGTGCGACAGCTGTCCTGTGATGTCTAGCGCTCGAGCGGGTGCAGCAAAACGAAGAAATCGATGAGTGGATTCGTCAGCCCAAGATTACCAGGACATCCGACCGCGATTGTAGCTAACAGCGATGATTATGGTGACTAATCCTAAACGCGTAAATTCAAGCGAAGCATAGGTCTGGATTGGCTGTTTACCTGTAGGTGGAAGCAGTGAGAATGAATGTCCTCAGAGTCGGCGCGGCACAACCGACGCACTGTGCGCGGGCGAATGTAATTGCGCATGGGCATAACGTCCCGCAAACGGCCGTGGTTGCGCGCCGCGTCTGTGTGTAGGCCAACGAACCCCCTCTGCCGATTTTTTGGATCCGCCCCTGTTGACAAAACCAAGAAAAAATCACAGACAGGCCCATTTTACCCTACTTGCCTCTACTTCTCCACGCGAGAATCTCATTACCCGTTTTCGTGTCTTCATCCTCAGCTATCTCCTTACCGAGTAGCTATAGCGCTTGTGCGCGCACATCGAGCGATCGTTCTCCTCCTCTCCTACGTCTCTTTTCACGGAAGACCAGTGAACGACGCCATTTTCTGCCAACTAAGCATGCGCGTTGTCTCCATCCGTGGCTCCGCGAGACTAGTGGGCGCCCTGCGCGAAACTTAGCCTTTCTGTTGGGCAGTTCCTTGCCACTTCTTTACATAGATACATTTTCTTTCTGACTAAAGTATGCATTAATAGTTTGTATGTTCATGCATTCGTGACCAGCTAAAGATTGAAACACAAAGATGTAGGCATGTGGTTATGAATGACTTTCTTATACGTAGTCATTTTCTTGTTCCCTCCTTTTTCATGATGTGACATCCCTACACCCCCTTTCATTTCACAGAAAATGATATAATAATATTCCACTTGTTATTGTTAGTGCAACTGATAGCACAAGATGCATGCACGCAAAAATTGGAGTTGACTTTTTTGCTTTGCCTAAACCTTGCTACCTTGTTGTTGTCTCATGCAAAAAAAATTGCCAGCTATAGCTATAACCCCATGCTGTGCTGCGTGCTAAAGCATAGCTATACCTGACAGTCCTGGAAGTAAGCAAAGTTTGCTTGCCTGTAAGTGATAACACACTTAGAGAGGATGTTAACCACTTTTTGATCCTCTGTGTGTAGCTAATGTTCTCGGTTTGATGCCCCTAACTTCTAGCTAAAACAGCGGATCAAGATAATCTCTAACTATATCTATAGGTACTCACTGCTGGTGAACTGTTGGAATGCTGTTCCACAGCAAAGGCCAAGATTCTGTGAAATTGTGAGCAAGATTGACGTGATGATGGAGGAAAAGTTTGGGTATCTCAGGATGAACACTAACTGTAGCTAAATTATTTTCTTGGATAATAGTTGTAGAATACGTCGCCTTCCACACCATTCTTTTGACAGAGTTGTATTTTTGTACCTTAATAATAATGACTGGTCTGCCTTCTTTGTAAATAGGTAGCTATAGACACCACAAAATTATTACATTATATAGCTACATCTGCATTTGCCATGATCAGTATCTATGCAATGCTGTTACGTTTTCAATTTTGTGAGGCACAATTGCAAAGCGCGCTCGCTAGCCCATGACTGGACTATTGGGCAAGCGGGAGCGAGTCGTCGATCGTTGCAACGGGCCCATTTTTGGTGATGCGACACATACCGTTCTACTTCACTCTAATACGGAAGCCGAGAAGGGGCATTCCATACTTCAGTTCTACGCGAACTTGCTTTCTTCCACTCTTCTGTCCTTACATCCTCCATACTGTTTTGCTTTCGCATGTGTATCGCTTCCCTCGCGCATGCGTACTACTTACGAGTGTCCGGTGCAGCGCTGCTGATCGCTCCTGTTGTGTCACGTAGGAAGAACTGCGAGGCCGTAGACGCCCAACAAATACGGTATATACAGGCAAGGAGAGCGCAGTGATGGTGTTTTCTGAACGAATCGTTCCCAGTTTTGTGGTGGTGGTGCTGTTGATCAGTCATGCAGGCTGTGTCCAGGACCAAGCTCCAGGAGATGGTGTAGACATATGTACTGAGGAGATTATTAACGGAGATGCCGAACCCGCTCTTGGCCAACCGCCCAATGTACTCTGTCAGTGAACGACCTGTCATGGACTCCAGAGACTATAACCGCCTGCTTCAGTCAAGTGGCGAAGCGTATGTACCCTGGCAATGCCTGGATAGGGACAATAACAATACAAACATGGTTGTAACTGAGGTAAGTACAATCCCTGTATTTTATTTGTTATAAAAAAAGTAATTGCTCTCCAGTGGACTCAAACTGTAATAGCCACATGTGCTGGGACAGTGACAGTGTGTGGATTCAGTGAGGGAGCTCAAGAGAACTGGCTCATCACACAGCACATCAACACAGTGCTACCAGGAGGAGGAGGAGGAGAGAGACTGAGGAAAGTGACTGTTCAGTTTGAGGGAACTCTCAATGGATGTGATATCAGTAGACAGTGCAGGCAGAGTTTTGAACTATACAAGTGGGAGACTTCAGCCATCGACAGAAATGGAGCAACTAACACCATCAATTATGTCAGAGTTGGTCGAGTCTCTCCCTCTGTTACTAGTGGAGTCATGTCCTTTGTTGACTCTCATGATATTGAATTGGGTACCACAGGTGGTTTTTACTTGGGAGTTGTTGACCTGGGTACTTGTGTTACTCTCACGAGAATTCTAGTTCTCTACTATGTGTGTCCAGAGGAGACATCAGAACTCATCTCCAGAACTGAGGCAATTGAATCCCAGTCTCTGGAAGGCTCACCTTCAGTGGAGGGAGAGTGTGTAGAGAACAGTTCCACAGAGTCTGGGACTAATCCTATTCTCATATGTGGTGCTAGGGGACAGTGGCAGGTGATAAAACCTTGTCTCTGTAACAGTAGTCAGGATAAGTGCTCAGAGTACATCAGGAGGATGTGCCAACTGTGTGAGTGTAATGTTCTTTTGCAGAGTGTCCAGAGGGAACCTTCTCATCAGGACTGGGTAATGGACCATGTGAGACATGTCCAGCTAACAGTGAGGGGACTGGAACTGGTCTGAGCCTCTGTCCATGTCTCCAGGACTACTACAGAGCTCCTTATGAGGGGCCGTCCGTCCCCTGTACACGTGAGTCTTGTCCACAGCTACCAGCAGTAGGTCTCACAGGTCTTTGCTCAAGTTAGGTTCCTCTGTTACTGAAGCCTCCATTTTGTTGAGGTTTCTCCACTCTACAGGGTGGCGCCTTCCTGTAGCCCCCACATGACAGTGTGTGAGTACTACAGTGCTTGTGTACACATTGGTGGTGTTGTAGTAGTGTTCTGTGCTGCAAGCCGTGTCCTAGTGCAGGAGAAAGACCACCACAACAACAACACTGAAACTGTCCCTGTTTTTCTCAGAGCATGCAATATGTAAGAGTAGGACATTACTGTGTATCTCAATGTATTGGCAGTACGAGGGGAGGTTGGACATTTTGCAGCAATCACCATTAATTGGTTAAACATGTGAGAATGGCAGCCAGACTTGGCAGGGCACACTAGTGGTCATGTGCCTGTCTCGAATGTCCCCATGTCCGCATGAGATCACAACAGCACCACGTCCTAATCCGAAGACTGTTGATACAGTGGATGGAACCCCAGGCCACGATTCTTGCTGCTGTAGATATTCACATGTCACTCCTGGTATATACATGCATAAGACTGTGCTACTACTCCATGTACATGCACTGCTGGGTCTTAATTATACTGTCTTGTGAGTTTAGTCCAGTCCCTTTACTGAGAGATGTGTATTGGATTAATGAGAAGGTATATACATACACTATGCATAAAATTGAATTGTACTGCATGTGGATAATGTATGCCTTCACTTGCTAAAAAGTGTACAAGACAGTGCTCAGGTATGTCACACAGTTACACTAACGTTAAACTGTTTCAATGTAATGTTCTTTTACAGAGTGTCCAGAAGGAACCTTCTCATCAGGACTGGGTAATGGACAATGTCAGACATGTCCAGCTAACAGTGAGGGGACTGGAACTGCTCCGAGTCTCTGTCCGTGTCTCCAGGACTACTACAGAGCTCCTTATGAGGGGCCGTCCGTCCCCTGTACACGTAAGACATGATATTGAAAGTAACAAACATGTTCATATTTGCTCTTTGTTATGAAAGCCATCGTGTATTCAAAAACCAGACTGATAAAGGCTAGAGTGTTGTTTATTGTCAACAATCACTAGGTAGTGCATATAATCTGTGTACAAATTGTGTGCACCTATTGCAGAGTCTCCAGGACGTCCATCTGATGTCAGAGTGTCAAATGTGACCAACACATCAGCCGTCCTCTCCTGGTCTCCTCCTGATAATGGTGGAGGGAGACCTCTCTATGAGATAGGCTACACAGTCAATGCCACTGGTACGTTTAGCATTGATAGCAAGACCTCTAATGACAAGGCAGTTGTGCCTGTTCTGTAAGCATGGTATTGTTTGAACCTTGCCAGTTTAACTGCCGTGGTACTTCAGGTTAGAGCACTCTGTCTAGGCTGCAAATTTGTGTTGTGGGTGTGATGCCCACCTTCTTCCCCAGAAAAAGGGAACATCACTGAATTTTTTCTTTTTCTTTCATATTTCACTTATGGTTCATACGAGGGAGTGGAGGAGAGAGGGTGGTGGTGAGTGGGGTGAATGATACAGAGACCATTGTGACTGGACTGACTCCTGGTGTCCTCTACACATTCTCTGTATCTGCTGAGAATGATGTCTCCTCTCAGGACAACAATGTCAATGCCAGGAGTCTCAGTACCACTGCCACCACTCTGGAAGGAGGTGTTTGTGTTAGCTTGGAGATTTTTCATAATTGCTCAGTTGTTGCTGGCATTACTGATCCACTACTAATCATTTATGTAAAACTGTAGTATAGAACCAATGACACCCCATGCAGTTGGAGGGACAGTGACAGAGTTTGTGGTTGGAGAGAATGGAGTGTTGAGCTGGTCTTCTCCAGTTCCTCCCAATGGAGTCATTCTCTACTACAATGTCATCATATCCACAGCTGACTCTGGGCAACTGGTCACCAGAGTTGAGGAGTTGGACGTCTTGACTATTGATGTCTCCAACTATGGAGAGATGAACATGGACTACAATGTTACTGTAAGAGCTTTTGAGTATGGTTTGGGACACTTTTTATGCATAAAGTTTTTCTCCACAGTATAATATACACACAATACCCAATTTAAAGGCTTTGGGTAATAATGTGCTTTTTCAGTCATAACCACATTCCTTTAATTGCCATAACTTTTGAATGCAGTAGTTATACGAAAATCACCTTTTTAAACAATGAAGCAAGTGTAGCGATGAACCTGTTGGTATCGCTATTTTGTTGTCTCGTTGCGTGCAGTCGCAGAAAAAGTGGTAACAGACAGACAGACACACTTACGAACCAAGTACTGTAAACCCCCCGAGGGTTAATGAAAGTTGTATTCCCATGTCTACCTGCTTTCGGCAATCCCAGGCATGTATTAATTGGGCTAGCACAGCAATAGTTAGTCATTATAAAACACATTTTCACTCTATAACGTCGTATAAGAATTTTTTTAGAACAGTGCCCACCTTAGTTACATTTTGCACAATAACGTCCATACGCTTTCCTAGTGCACATTGGTTACTCACCTATTTGTATACTATACTAGGTGCAGGCAGTGACAGCTGTTGGAGGTGGAAATTTCTCATCTCCAGTGACTGTGTATCTGGAGGAGCCATCGGAAGACTCTGGTCCAGTAGTAGTGATTGCAACCGTGACTGTCAATTTAGTCGTTCTTACTGCCACTTTCTCTTTGCTTGTGGCTAGTGTCTTGGGCTACAAGTATTGGTTAGTATTTGGCAAGTTCTGTTATGTAGCGAAACACACATTGTCAATGTACGCATCCTGCTATTAGCTATCCAGGACTCGATAATGCATAACTCCATGCAAGAGGTTGTGGGTTAAAATCCCACTGGTAGAGCTCATTTTTCTTTCTTTCTACCTTTCTTCCTCTCCTTCTGACTATGCACTCTTTTTACCATTCTCTCAGTCAACCAGGCGTGAGAACGGGAGCGAGATGCGCGAATTATTAATCTGAGGTATATACCCCGGTGAAGAAAGCTGTCCGTGCCAGCGCATATGCACTTTCATTATCCATGCCTGATTGTGGGAAATGCAGATATGTACAGCCATTTAGCTATATACCTCCTAGTGCCCCTAATTAGAGGTTTACACAACTTCCTCTTTCCAGGCTTTTATACTGGACATATACGTTTCTGCAGGTGGAAGAGAAAACCTTCTCTGAGGATTGAGCATTTCACAACTACAGTTAGGCCTTGTGTGACTAGTAGAAAGGGACCAGAATCTGCCCAGTGCCCTGCTTGATTTAATCAAAGAAATGTCCGATGATGGACTCTATATTCCTGAGAGCAGTATCACCCTCCGCAGCATTGTTGGTAAAGGTGAGGTGGACCCTTTCATTTTTAGTTCAATGAAGCTACTGAGCTTGTATTAAAGGAGAGTTTGGAATTGTCTACAAAGCCGTATTACATGATGAGAAAGGGTCTGTGGAGGATTTTGTTGCAGTGAAGACATTAAAAGGTGAAAGAGATTGTATTACATTTGTACACTTGTAATCATAACAATATCGACTTGCAGGGATCTTCAGTTTTAATGATGTTAGAAGTTTAGCGGAGGAGAGTCAGATGATGGCTAAATTTGATCATCCAAATGTCATGAAGTTGCTGGGTGTTTCAATCAGTGAGAGTAGGACCCTCCTCATTATCATGCCATTCATGCACAATGGAAATCTACTCTCATACTTGCGAAACAATAGAGCAGATTTGACAGTGGAAAACGAGAACATGACTGAAATGGTATAACATAGTAATCGAGTTGTTGTCATACTTTTGTGTTGAATGCTCTTTTACTTCAAAGTGCGTCTGTTAAGGCAGGAATTAACCTGATTCTTTCACTGGTAGATTGAAGAGATGGCTGCGTATCTACTCTCAATCTGCCTTCAAATTGCTAGGGGCATGGAGTACTTGGCTTCTAACCAGTTTGTTCACCGCGATCTTGCTGCAAGGAACTGCATGTACAGGGATAAGATGTTTACTACAGAAACTTAACAATTCCTTCCCATTAGGATTGATTTGAACCACGTCATAAAAGTTGCAGACTTTGGTCTGTCGGAGGAGATCTATGCCAGAAACTATTTCAGACAAGCAGATATGCAGGAGAGTGGGGAAGGCCCTGTGAAATTACCAGTCAAGTGGATGGCTCTTGAGAGCTTGAACGATGGAGTCTTCTCAGAGAAATCTGATGTGGCAAGTACAATAGGCAATGACGATTCACACACTGATTGTTTCAAATGTGCAGTGGTCGTTTGGAGTGACGTGTTGGGAGGTGTTCTCATTGGGAAGGAATCCCTACCCTGGAGTGGACCCCTTCTCTCTCATGAGATACTTGGATGGAGGAGAGAGACTTGACAAACCACAAAATACAGCTTGCTCCCAGGAAATGTATACACACCCATATAATTATACATACTTGCTAGTATCGTATTTAACTTTGAAAAACTTTACTGGTGAAAGAAACAGGCTAAATTATTGTCCATGGTACACAGTATCAGTTTTTTACTCTTTACTTCCTCTTTAGCTTTTATAGTATTTCTTCTGTAATTTTTTCTAACAGATATTGTATAATGAGTGAGTGTTGGGATTCAGAACCTTGGAAGAGGCCCAC